ACAGACTTTTTAAGATAAAATCATCCCTTAGATTTCCTTTCAGCCCCCACCTGATTCTGACATTGGTAGTAAGGGAGGAAAAGAAAAAAATGGCAAGTCATTGAGGACACCTTACCCTAGCTACAGAATGTAGCCATGGTTCCCGAGCCCTTGGTACCTGAAAAGAAAAAGCACACCAATCCTGCCACTGTACTTACTTTTAGGAGATACCATCACGGGGCTGAGAATCTTTGGAGAAGCCATGAGAGCTTCTATCAAAAAAATGAGTAAGATGGCTGGTCAACAGCAAAAATAACCAGACAGAAAATATGATAGAGGGAAGCTAAAGGTCTCCATAATCCAGATTTCCAGAATAAGAGGCAGATAGGGATTATGTTAGTCTGAGCTCCCTGCCTTGTCCCCCAAACCCACTGGACACATAGAAGTTGAGCCCTAGAGTGGTAGCGACTTGACCATGACAACCCCCTTTCCTGTTCTCTGCATTCCCTGCATTACTCACTTAACACCCTTTCAGACAACCTAGAGAAGTATGTAAGACTTTTAAATCCTAACAAATAAGTAAATAGAAAAGCCTTTTTTTTTTGGCATATAAATAAAAGGAAATAGAGGTTCATTAACTTGCCAAAGGTTACAGAGCAGAGGCACCTGATAGTTCAAGGCAGGTTCAGCTCACCTCCTTTGCCCTAACCGCTGGCAAACTTATAGATCTAGGGGCCGTGCATATAGTACAGTGCTCAAATTCACTTTTTAGTCCTCATGGGAATTCTCAGTTGCTAAGGTTAAGACTAGGTAAGTGGCCTGTCAGGACGCACATGCTTTTTTGCCCGTAAGTACTTGGACCCCAAAGGGTCACCCCATTAAGCTTAGTGCATGGAAGGTCAACACTCATGTTTGGAGTCTGGGGATTCTGTAGTATTTGGATTTGTTTTCCCAAAGCATAGGAACATTCAATATCATGTTGGTAAAGACTCCCAGTAAATCTTGCCCAGAATAAAGTCGCTGTTTTTTTTCTTTTTCAGAAATGTCAATAGTCAAGTAAACAAATTTATTAAATTCAACAGCAGATAACCTTCCAAATTAAAAAAACATGAAAAGAAAAAATAATGTAGACATCAAAGACAAAAATGTGTGTAACAAGTTAATAAAAATATTCAAGGGCCATTTGGAGAGTGCAACAGTGCAGAGAATACAAACAAAAGTATTAACTTTTGTCAAGTTTGTACAACCTCAAGAAACAGACACACTGGTCACAAACCAAGAGGGATCCACAAAGGTGGAGGGTCACATGAGCAGTGGACTCATCACCTCGGCGGCTTAAGGCAGGGTATCTGCAGGACCCATTCATCCAAGCCCCATTTGCCTATTGCTTCAAATTCCCCCTCTGAAACCTAGAATCATATGTATTAGTGCAACTGGTAAGAGCAATTAATCACAGACTTGGGACTGGGAACTAGGGACAGAGGAAAGACACTTCTCCCAGAGCAAATATATGTGTGTTGGGGACAACAACCACAGCAGCTGCTGAATGGCTTCCTTTGGCAATATCCAAGATTTGTGTTGAAAGCAATGGAGAAAGAAGGTGGGTGGTAAAAGTATAGGTATCTATGAGAGTAGGCGGGGTTTTGAGAGAGGAATAGGGAAGACATGACCCAGGACCAGAATCAGAATCAGAACTCAATGATTACTCAAAGCCATCTGAAGCATTTTGGCTTCTGCAACCAGTGCTCAAGCATCAGTTTTATCTTTAAATAAAGGGGTAAAAACCCTGCTGGATCCCCTCCTTGTAGTCCCAGTCCAAGTAAAATTGGGTATATGCTATAATTACAGTTTACTATGGGAATAAACTAAAGGGAAGTAGGTGGGAAATCCCCTCCATATGATTCAGAAAAAAATGAGAGGAGCAATGTTACATGTCCTCGGGTGAGTCCCAATGAACATACTTCAATCACATTATAACAGTCCTTTCAGCTGTTTATACAAGATACTGCTGGAGTCCTCCAAGGAAGACTTTTGTCAGTTACCAAGATGTGTATAAGTCATCACTAACCAAACATGAGACACAAAAAATAGCAAAGCAGGCAAATAAAAAAAGCCCTAGCAGCAAGCTTTCTTTCATCCCTTACCTTAATATTGTATAACTGAGTCTAAACTGCACTGAAGACCTCACTTGAAGTGTAGTAGAACAAACTCCTAAATACAGATGTTTTGGTGTGGAAACTCTTAAGCAGTCCTTATCCAAGTAACTTCCCACGGTTGTTTAATACAATTTGGCATAGTGTATAGTACACGAGGCCATCAGGTGAACTATGAGATCCCATACCCTGCAGCCTCCAGTGCTGAGGACTAAATTTTGGCACCAGCCCCTGGGAGATGAGTACTCTTTCTTTCAAAGACTAATACTGTGTGGCTCAATTCTTCCTTTCTACAGAGGCTGGTCTGGACCTTCCTTAAGGAAGTTTAATTCTGAAAACACTGCCTTGGTGCATTTTCAGTTGTATTTCCCTGGGTCTGGGAGTTTGGTTGAAATTTGAATCTTAACCCAGTTCTAGATTTTTCTTATCAGAAAGGCAGATATGGTTTCCTGAACCCAACTCACACATGTGGGCACATCTGGCAGGAAGAGGGGAGAGCTACTTAGACAACCAGCTAAAGCACAGCTTACATGCTATTACAGGAGGTGAGGTTAAGAATGATACATTCAGTTTGGCAAGGATAAGGAAAGAGCAAGTCAATGAAGGAACACTTTGTCTCATACCAGCTTTCTAATAAATTGCTAAAGAAACACTGCAAAAGCTCATAGATAAAGACATCTGCCAAAAACTAGCAATTTCCCAACATATATATTGTTGTGGTCACCCCGATGTTGCCAGTTTTCAAAATGGCATCTGCATCCTGCTTCCTCCAAGTCACTCTGAGCTGCAATCACAGGCTTACCTAAGGTGCGCTTGGCCTCCACAGAATTACTTTAAGTGGAAAACCTATTTCTAGGTTGAGTAGAAAGGGGCTTTTCCCTTCCTAGAAGCAGAACTGCAAGCAGACGCTACATACACCTCACTTTGGATCCCTTTATAGAAAAACTGCTTTTCCTGTGGTCATGAAAGAGGCCTTAGTCCAGAGCTACCCTTCTGCAGAAGCTTGAATTCCTGTTGAACATCAGAGACTCAAACCTAGAAGGACCTTGTGAGTCCCTCCCTGACTGCTCTTTTCTAGCTACCCTTCTGCATCCTTCTAACACATTAATCATTAAAAATGCAAGCAAAAATACTTTTTTAAATGGCTCTTTTTTGGAGAGGTGTGGCTGAACAAATAAAAAGCAAAACAAAATCTACCCACTTTAGTACGCCTTTTGCATGGAATGCCTTCTTACAGGCAAGGTAAGGAATCTAGTTCCTTCAGAGTCCTCGCTGCCCTCAGCTGCCTTCCTCTTTTGTGCATGTCTTGCCCATAAGCCCTTCTGATCTGAGATAGAGCCTTCCCTGGCAAGGAGCAGCCTGCTCTTTTCCTCATTCAGTTTCTATCTAATTCAGAACTGGAAAAAAATGGGAGTTGCAACTAGATATTCCAACTATAGTTGAGCCTACAGAACCTGCTGTGGCCTTTGGACACTTTTATAGAAAAGGTCATGTTTTTCGCTAGAATGAAGCCAGACATCTGGCCTAAGACTCCCTTCAGCTTTCCAGCAGTATTGTTAATCTTCTGTGAATGATTTTAAAGTTTCCTATCTGACCCTCTAGCAGGGCAACTGTTACACTTAGGGTTTAAAAAAAAAAATTCAAATTGCAAATCTGTTCCCTATGTCAATAGTCAATTTGAGAAGAACACCAACTGCTGAAAACTCCTTAAATAATTATCTTTGTAAAGATGGGAACTCATAGTTATAAGGCTACTAATAAAGGAGCTCAATAGATGTAATTCCTGCCCAGGCTAAGAATCACATACCTGGTGGGGAGAGGGGCAGAATAAGGAGAAAAATTCCCAAATGTTTAACAGACAAACTCTGATTACCTCAAGAATATAAATATTTTTATGTTTTTATTTAAAAGATTCCCTTTTTAATCTGTTCGAAAGTATTGGAAGCTGAACTATACAGGTTCCTGCCACCCACCCTTCCAGTACAGTTTTTTGAGGACATTTTTATTTTTAATTTAAAAATAACAAGAAGACCCTCTCCTGAAACGAGGAGGACCTGAGTCAGCTCCTCAGGCCCCTGTGGCAGTTTGGCCAAAGTCGGCTTTATGGAGCGAGCAAGCAGAGGAGTATGGGGAATTGGACCCTCCCTTCCCCAAGGAAAGGGCTGAGTTCTCCTTAGTGAAAATGGTCCAGATTCAAAAGCCTCCATTATAATATTCCCTGGCACTCTTCTTATACTTTATGTATTGAAGGCAGCTCCCTCTTTTATGGCCAGTTTTAACAGGCAACGAAACAAAGGAATATAGATACATATATGTGTATATATATATTTTATATAGTTAAAATATATACATATTTTATATATGTATATATACACATTTGGGGGTAGAGGAGGAAAGGAGGGTCATGTAAACCTAAACAGTCATCACATTACCCCAAATGAGCCTGACATTAAGCTTCTGCAACCAGTGCTCAAGCATCAGTTTTATCTTTAAATAAAGGGGTAAAAACCCTGCTGGATCCCCTCCTTGTAGTCCCAGTCCAAGTAAAATTGGGTATATGCTATAATTACAGTTTACTATGGGAATAAACTAAAGGGAAGTAGGTGGGAAATCCCCTCCATATGATTCAGAAAAAAATGAGAGGAGCAATGTTACATGTCCTCGGGTGAGTCCCAATGAACATACTTCAATCACATTATAACAGTCCTTTCAGCTGTTTATACAAGATACTGCTGGAGTCCTCCAAGGAAGACTTTTGTCAGTTACCAAGATGTGTATAAGTCATCACTAACCAAACATGAGACACAAAAAATAGCAAAGCAGGCAAATAAAAAAAGCCCTAGCAGCAAGCTTTCTTTCATCCCTTACCTTAATATTGTATAACTGAGTCTAAACTGCACTGAAGACCTCACTTGAAGTGTAGTAGAACAAACTCCTAAATACAGATGTTTTGGTGTGGAAACTCTTAAGCAGTCCTTATCCAAGTAACTTCCCACGGTTGTTTAATACAATTTGGCATAGTGTATAGTACACGAGGCCATCAGGTGAACTATGAGATCCCATACCCTGCAGCCTCCAGTGCTGAGGACTAAATTTTGGCACCAGCCCCTGGGAGATGAGTACTCTTTCTTTCAAAGACTAATACTGTGTGGCTCAATTCTTCCTTTCTACAGAGGCTGGTCTGGACCTTCCTTAAGGAAGTTTAATTCTGAAAACACTGCCTTGGTGCATTTTCAGTTGTATTTCCCTGGGTCTGGGAGTTTGGTTGAAATTTGAATCTTAACCCAGTTCTAGATTTTTCTTATCAGAAAGGCAGATATGGTTTCCTGAACCCAACTCACACATGTGGGCACATCTGGCAGGAAGAGGGGAGAGCTACTTAGACAACCAGCTAAAGCACAGCTTACATGCTATTACAGGAGGTGAGGTTAAGAATGATACATTCAGTTTGGCAAGGATAAGGAAAGAGCAAGTCAATGAAGGAACACTTTGTCTCATACCAGCTTTCTAATAAATTGCTAAAGAAACACTGCAAAAGCTCATAGATAAAGACATCTGCCAAAAACTAGCAATTTCCCAACATATATATTGTTGTGGTCACCCCGATGTTGCCAGTTTTCAAAATGGCATCTGCATCCTGCTTCCTCCAAGTCACTCTGAGCTGCAATCACAGGCTTACCTAAGGTGCGCTTGGCCTCCACAGAATTACTTTAAGTGGAAAACCTATTTCTAGGTTGAGTAGAAAGGGGCTTTTCCCTTCCTAGAAGCAGAACTGCAAGCAGACGCTACATACACCTCACTTTGGATCCCTTTATAGAAAAACTGCTTTTCCTGTGGTCATGAAAGAGGCCTTAGTCCAGAGCTACCCTTCTGCAGAAGCTTGAATTCCTGTTGAACATCAGAGACTCAAACCTAGAAGGACCTTGTGAGTCCCTCCCTGACTGCTCTTTTCTAGCTACCCTTCTGCATCCTTCTAACACATTAATCATTAAAAATGCAAGCAAAAATACTTTTTTAAATGGCTCTTTTTTGGAGAGGTGTGGCTGAACAAATAAAAAGCAAAACAAAATCTACCCACTTTAGTACGCCTTTTGCATGGAATGCCTTCTTACAGGCAAGGTAAGGAATCTAGTTCCTTCAGAGTCCTCGCTGCCCTCAGCTGCCTTCCTCTTTTGTGCATGTCTTGCCCATAAGCCCTTCTGATCTGAGATAGAGCCTTCCCTGGCAAGGAGCAGCCTGCTCTTTTCCTCATTCAGTTTCTATCTAATTCAGAACTGGAAAAAAATGGGAGTTGCAACTAGATATTCCAACTATAGTTGAGCCTACAGAACCTGCTGTGGCCTTTGGACACTTTTATAGAAAAGGTCATGTTTTTCGCTAGAATGAAGCCAGACATCTGGCCTAAGACTCCCTTCAGCTTTCCAGCAGTATTGTTAATCTTCTGTGAATGATTTTAAAGTTTCCTATCTGACCCTCTAGCAGGGCAACTGTTACACTTAGGGTTTAAAAAAAAAAATTCAAATTGCAAATCTGTTCCCTATGTCAATAGTCAATTTGAGAAGAACACCAACTGCTGAAAACTCCTTAAATAATTATCTTTGTAAAGATGGGAACTCATAGTTATAAGGCTACTAATAAAGGAGCTCAATAGATGTAATTCCTGCCCAGGCTAAGAATCACATACCTGGTGGGGAGAGGGGCAGAATAAGGAGAAAAATTCCCAAATGTTTAACAGACAAACTCTGATTACCTCAAGAATATAAATATTTTTATGTTTTTATTTAAAAGATTCCCTTTTTAATCTGTTCGAAAGTATTGGAAGCTGAACTATACAGGTTCCTGCCACCCACCCTTCCAGTACAGTTTTTTGAGGACATTTTTATTTTTAATTTAAAAATAACAAGAAGACCCTCTCCTGAAACGAGGAGGACCTGAGTCAGCTCCTCAGGCCCCTGTGGCAGTTTGGCCAAAGTCGGCTTTATGGAGCGAGCAAGCAGAGGAGTATGGGGAATTGGACCCTCCCTTCCCCAAGGAAAGGGCTGAGTTCTCCTTAGTGAAAATGGTCCAGATTCAAAAGCCTCCATTATAATATTCCCTGGCACTCTTCTTATACTTTATGTATTGAAGGCAGCTCCCTCTTTTATGGCCAGTTTTAACAGGCAACGAAACAAAGGAATATAGATACATATATGTGTATATATATATTTTATATAGTTAAAATATATACATATTTTATATATGTATATATACACATTTGGGGGTAGAGGAGGAAAGGAGGGTCATGTAAACCTAAACAGTCATCACATTACCCCAAATGAGCCTGACATTAACAAAAAAATAATAAATAACTCCTGGGGGTTAAGTGATAACCTGGGTGCAGCAAGAAGGGAAAGGGCACACATTTAACTATTAAACACACTTTGATATTTGTTTGGCAGAGTTCAGGCCAGCCCCAGGCTTCTGCACTTGCCAGACAAGTAAGCTGATGATATTCAAAGAAAAGTTTTTAAAAAGTTCAAGCAGAGCTCCATACCACAGTTTTCCTTTAAGTCAGCTGGCCGGCAGGCACAGTTTTCCGACCACCAAAAACAAAAACTTTGGCTCCAAGGCAAATCAAAAAAAAAAGGGGGGAGGGGGGTATTTCCATTTACAACATGAAAATACAGAAACTTCATCAAAGAAAGAAAACTATCAAAGAAGTCTACTTCCAGCAAAACTGAGGTAGCACTGCTTTCTCTGCATTCAATGCTTAAGTGGTTCTCAGTACAATGTGTTCTTTAAAACAAACAAAAAACTGCTCACCTGACTGACAGGTGCAGCATGTTGATGGATAAACTCAACATGAAATTCAATAGGTCAAAGAAGGAATGAGCAAGAAGTGAAGGAAGTAAGGGTTCTGGATAAATGAGCTTAAAAGGGGGTTGTCACCAGACTGCAAATGCTCTTGGCCGGCCTTGGCTCTCCAAGAGCTCTAAATCGTCTGGGAATAATGCAATGTGGTTAACAGTTAACACTGCTATTCAAATCTGTGTAAATCTCAAAAAATAATTATTACAACCTAAATTCAACCATGTAAACAGCACTACACACAGTACAGACCTGCCCTGAAAAACAATATGCAAAACTGAGATCTGGCACTGCATCATTTTGTAATGTTAATTCAATCTAACCGTCCTATTCCCCCCACCCTGCTTTACACCCTCCCCCCACAAAAAAATCTAATTTGTGCAAGAAATGGCAGGCTTATTCTATCTGAAGGCTTCAAAAAAAGATACACGACATGTAGCCAGGTTCAAAAATTGGGAGGAGGGGTGTTGCCCCCCCAAAAGAAATAACCAAAAAAATGAAGAAAGTGCCTAAAACATGATACAGCATTTTAGAGCCCTTTCAGATACAAGGCAGAGAAAGGTGTAAAGTAGAAAATATCCGGATCTTCAGTAATTTCCAGAAAGGTCCAATTCCTCGGTTGGCTGTAGGGCAGCAGGTAGATCCTTGCTGCTGCTCCTGGGACAGAGCCACTAAGTCTGCTCCTCGGGACACAAGCCCTCGGGCCCTGAGCTGAGTGCCTATCTCCCTTCCCCTTCTCTTTTCCTTCGCTCCATTTCCCACTCCACAAAGGTATCAAAGAGACTTGGCCAGGCCTCATCTTCACTGTAGTTACTGAGGTCGGGGCCAATCACCTGAGTGAAGTTAAGGAACATATTCCAAGTGTCCCGGGAGATGCCCTTGATCCCCGAGGGATTCTCTGTTAGGAAGTTTAGCCATTGGTCCAATACTGGAGGATTGTTCTGGGTAAAGACTAGTTTCCACAGGGCAATGGCTATTTCCCGATGCAGTGACCGCTGCCCTTCTTCGGAGTCCAAGCCAAACTGAAATGTAAACCGGTAGAGATCCGTGAATTTATCCTCTTGCTTGGCTTCTGTTAAGAGGCTAGGGAACCGTGCACAGTTCCCGTCAATGCTGTCTGCCCTTATTGCTTTGCAGCCATCAAAAAACTCCTTCCTGCAATTTTAAGAAGAGGATACAATTAATAACAATAAATCATATCATTTCTAGAGAGGCAGTGTAGTAAGAGTGATTGATTAAGAGCATGACTGAGGCCTGCTGGCCTGGATTTGAATTCTGACTCCTTCACTAATTAGTCCTACCTCAACTGTCACATGATAATATCATCTTACTTTATTATACAGTTTTGGTGAGGGCTAATTAACTACTTCTCTCAGTGCCTGGCTCACGGTAGTAATCAGATAATGGTTTACTCATTTATTCATTCATCTTCCAAAAGCTAAACTCAAATCTCCTGCTCTCTGCCCTGTTTCTCACTCTGCAATAATGACTTAACTGCAGACTTTTGTCCCACATGGGGAAGCTTTGTTTCCCTTTTGATTCTCTGTGAATTATTTGTTTTTGGTATATTTTTGGTGACTGTCAAGGGAGACTTTTGTGGCCAAAGGTTCTGGATGAACCTGAGTACCTGCTACTAGAAATCAAAGTTCTCCTATTAAAAAAAAATTGGGGTCAACTGGTGGCATGGAGGTTAAGACTGGATCCCACATGACCAACTGTATAGTTCAAGTCTCAGACCCAACAGCTTGATTGGCATCCTGCCACGTGTGTGTGCATGCCCAAAATCCCAAGAGGAGAATGTGGCTGAAGGGACTGCATGTGGCTGTCCTCCCTGGATGGTGCTTTCTCACTTTTCCTCCTCCACCCCCTCCCAGTTTCCTTCTCTATTTCTCTCCTGTAAGCACACAAGCCCAATAGCAAGTTAAAAAAAAAGAACAAAAATTATGCATGTATCTTTAACTTTTGTACAACATTCAGCTTACAAAGTGATCTCATGTTGATCATCATTTCAGGGATTCCTGTATACACTACAGAAGTGAGGCCTCTGAGGTTTGGCGGGTAACCTACCAGGGGAACACGTAAATCAGAAATTCTATGGCCTCATCTCCAAGTCAGTTCTTACTCATAATCCTGTGCTTTGTAAATCACACCTTAGGATGACCCTGCCATGTCCTTGCCTACAAGCAACCTCTGCAGACATGCACGAACAGTATATCTACTGCAGCTGTCATTACTGCACACAGGCAGGCCTGGCTAGAGATAATATGCTAAGAACTAGAAGGTGTACTGGCTTTGCAGAGTGACTGAGGCATATTCCAAGAGGTAATCTCTATCTGGGCACTCATGGTACCTGGCACACGGCAGGTACACGATAAATACCGACTGAGTACGGTACCTGGCACACGGCAGGTACACGATAAATACCGACTGAGTATGGTACCTGGCATACGGCAGGTACACGGTAAATACTGAGTACGGTACCTGGCACACGGCAGGTATACAATAAATACTGAGTGAGTGAGTAAACTGACAATAAGGAGAAAAGAAAGGTCCGAGACAACAGGGGGGCTGAGCAGCAGCTGAGCAGAAGGGCTCATCCTGGATTATTCCTCATTTAACTTGAGGCAAAAATGGTCAGTCAATGCTCCATTACAAGAAGCTGCCTGTTACTGCTATGACGTGCCTAAAATTGGACCTAGAAATTAGGCAAAGGCTTTGCTCTGCAAGAAGAAATGAGGAGTACACATCAGATCCAAATATTAAGTTTTACCAAAATATAAATCCCTGAGTCGTACAATTCCTCCCCCCACCAAGATTCCCATGAAAAAGGTATAGAGCCAGGTATACCTGCTGTAGAGCCAGGTATATATTTTTCAAACCCTCAGGAGACTCTAAGGGAGTATATCTAAATCCGAACCACAACTTAGATCAGAACATTTAAGCTCTAGAAAAACTGTTCAGAAGAAAAAAGACTTACCCCAAACCCTATGAAGCCAACCCAGTTCTATTTTAGTTGGACACCACTGTTCAATGGGGCTCTCTTCCCTCTCCTCTGCTCACTTGGTAACAGCAAGTATTTGTGACTAACCTGGTAAATTTGCACATGGTAGCAGCCTGGAACTTCCAAGCCAAGAGCAGCACTCGAAATTCTGTGGGGTCGACACATAGGTCATTGCAAAAGCGCTCCATGCCTTCCTCCAAAATTGCATCCTCCCGCTCGTCCTTGTAGCGCCTGAACAGTTCTTCCAACCTCTGCAACGAAGACTCCTCAGCATTGGACTGGGACTCCCTCCCAGCATCTCCCGAGGATGTTGGCAGCTGGCAGGCCTCAGTGGCAGCCTCTGCCTTTTTGGTCCCATTGACGAGGATATCTCCACCTGGTTTGCCACAGGGTGGCACCTGGTCCTCACGGTGGCCTGCACCCCGCCTGCTATGTGACTTGCTGCTGGGGTCACGGTCTCCATTCTTGCTGCCCAGGGTCGATGAGGGATTCTTACACTTGGTGACACACTGGCCCATGGTGCTGGTGGCCTGGCCTCTAGAGTGGCCCCCTCTGGATCAGATGCCCTTGCTGCCACTGGCCCATGTAAGTCAACATGCCATCAGCCAGAGGAGCCAGCCAACCTGGAAGAGAGTTAGACAGCAGGAGTAATAGGGTATGGACACTGCCCTCCAGGGACTGTGCACGAGGAACCACCATTTTTTTTTCTTTTTTTTTTTTTTTTAAGTTTTTTAATCATAGGGCACATACATTTGCCTGAGAGAGACAGAGGGAAAGTGAGAAATCACCCCTCAGGGAAGATGGCCACGCTGAAATCTCTTCTCCATTCTCCTCTCAGGATTTTGGGCACACATGCCCGGCTTGATTTTCAAGCTGCTAGGTCCAGGGCTCAAACCGCAGTTGGCCATTTGGAAGTCCAGTGCCTTAACTACCATGCTACCTGCTGGCTCCAGGCACCACTATTTCAGTTAAACAACCATGAATCAAAGTCAATATCACCTTCCTCATAAGCCAACTATATTTGTTCACCTTGGAAATGTAGTAGCCAGGGCACGTATAGAGAACCAATAAGAGAAATTTCTAAAATTCTTAAGGTAACATAGGTTACAAAGAGGCTGATTCATGTGTGAAACCCAGCAAAGGCTCCAGTTTTGACAAATATTCCACAGGAAATACATGTCTTGCCAACTTGCCTACACGTAAGAGTTATCTGGACCTTGTTTAAGCCAGAAAGTGCAAATAAATGGTTCGTCTTCCGTTTCCTAATGCCAGCATTCTCAAATCTCCGAAGTAGGATGAGTAGAATGATGGGGTGGCCACATCCAAGACAACTGCACAGTCTCATGACGACCTACAAATGAGGTAATTGATCTGTGGTGTCAAGACTACAAGCAGGAGTCTAGCCAAACAGCAAAGTGAAACTTGTCTCTGATCTCTCCAGATTCCTTTCTGGGCCTGTCCTACACAGGAGGTGAAATGCCTTTCTGTTGTACTCTAGCCATCTCTAGGAGCCATCCACCAAGTTTATACTCCAAGCCAACTTTCCCAAACAAGGAGCTGCTGCTTCCTCCCTTAGGTCCTCAGCAAGGCTGTATGTAGAATGTAAACTGAGTTCACACTATAGCTGACAATCCTATAGGACCTCTATGTTCAGTCTTCTGAAGGAGTGTGTCTCCCCAAACTTAACCCAAATACAGTCTCTAAATAGTAGGCTCATTGCTAGATGAAAATGAAAAGTCAGCACTGCTACATCAGAAACTCATCATGGTGCTTATTAATTACTCATGAAATTAAAGTGTTTTTATTTTTTAGAGAGATTTTTGCTGTATGATGTGTGCCTTCACCAGAGAGAAGGAAAGTGAGAAATCATCTGCCAATGGGGATGGCCATGCCGTAATCCCTTCTCCTGCTCCGTTCTTTTCTTGGGATTTTGGGCATGCACGCACACACACCCGGCATGTGTTTTAAGCCGCCAGGTCCAGGACTTGAACTGTAGTCAACTATGTGGAAGTCCAGTGATATAATCATTATGCCAGCTGTTGGTCTCGGAATTAAGGTTTTGTCTTTTTATAAAATAATTATTTTATTTACCTCTATATATTTTTATTTTTATTTGACCAGAGAGGGATGAAGGGGGAGTGAAAGCAAGCCGCCAGGTCCAGGACTTGAACCGTGATGAGCCATATGGGATTCCAGCACCCTTAGCCACCACGTCACCTGCAGGTCCCCCAGGTATTAAAGTGTTTTAATAAAGTGCTAGAAATTTCTGAGCCAGAGATGAGGCAATTCTTCTAAGATTACTTTGACTATTCAGGACTCTTATTCTTACCTTAAACTATTGATAGCTTGCTAGAAAATCCATTTACAATTTAATACTTGTAAAATTTTGCCAGCTGCTAAAATAATGGCAGCCACTGAAGTTATGTTGTTAATAGAAATGTAAACCAAGAGCCAGAAGTCTAGTTGGAAAAGCAGATATCAGACAAAACCAGTGTCAGTCCTACTTGGGCCTCCCCAGTTCTAGGGATTTTCCTTTGAGATTAAAATTAAAAGCTCTTAAGAGTACTGGCAGTGGGGCAAGAGGGTGATTTTATAGCAGACTGGAACTTTAAACTTTACCTAAAAATCATAGCCTCCTCCAAATAGCACCTGGATAAATTAGGGTGTTATTTCAAAAGGAATTCTGTCAAGGGTAAGCTCTGAGCATACAAGTTTAAAACAAAGAGCACAATCATCCCCCTACAGTTACTGGAGACTAATCACATCAGGGTGTGTCCCATTCCTCACCCTCAAAGAGAATAAATGACAAAAAGACATGTCCAAGCATGCCCTTGAAAAACTTGTAGTTGCATTTAGCCTTCAAAAACACATTAAACCCTTATCAGACCTTTTGGTATGGATGACAGACCCATGGAAGCAGTCTTCAATTGCTTTAATAGTATAGCTAGTAAACAATTAGCACAACCTATTAGAAAGGCAAAGGATTAATTTGTGGAAGACCCATCATACAAGGGAAGCAATTGTTCGAGTTGAATTATCTAACAAGAAGGACTACATACCATGTGGAGGGACTGGTTTCCAGATTTGTGTTTCTAAAGACTAGAGTGCTGAAAAAAACAAAAGGCCCAAACTCACACAAACCCCACATGCTCACAGACTGGCAGCTCTAATTCCCAGGCATGCTGACTCACCAGGGCTTGCTGCTCAGCTCCTGCCGCTGAGGGAGGTAGAGCACCCAGTGAAATAAGAGGATTTCCCAGCCTCCACCTGACCCATCTACCCCAGGCCTCTCACCCCGCCCCCACTGGACAGATGCTTCCTTATAGCAGCTTCCTCCAAATCCTGGTGCCAAGGCCTTCAGGTAGGGACAAAACAGATGGGGCTCCCGAAGAGGCCCTAATCCCACTTACCCAACCCACTTTCCATGTAAGAGCATCTTTCTTGATGACCTGACACAGCAGAATCAGCTGAAACCCGAAGGCTTTTAACATACCCAGCAGATTAGAAAGAGGAGGGGGTAAAATCGATTTTGACAGATGATCAATCAGCAAGTACCAGAGGTCGGATACTTTTTCTGTTCTCGTCCCTTTCTTTGAAATGCCCTCACCATTTCAGTGAGTGTTGGGGAAAGTGGTGATTTCAAGCCAGGAGAAAGTGTTTTCAGATCTGATGGTAAGTCTGCCCCAATGGCTCCCTTCTGTTTCTTCCCTTTTCCCTAAGCAAATACTTTCGCTCTCCCTGAGTCTTCCCCAGGCTCAATCACAGTGCCCAGGCCAGTGCCCCAGGGCTGGCAGCACTTCAAGTATTTTAAAGTTGAAGGTCTCCCTGGACTCACTAGCTAATAGCTAACAATAGCAGTCATCAATTATATTGAGAATTTGATACTGTGCCAGGCACTGTGCTAAGCACTTTAGAGACATTAACTCATACATCCTCACCACAACCCTAGCTACAGACTGGGAAGCTGAGGTTCAAGGTGAAGGAAGGTCATGTAACAAACAGAATCTGGTATGTCTGGCTCAAGAAGAAGCCATAATCTTCACCACTAGGTAGATTGCTGTGCCCACCTACAGTGAGCACCTAGGAAAGGCATACAAAGGGGTGGCCCTGAGTTCAGGAGCGACACCACAGTCACCCAGAGACCATCGGCCACTGGAAAGAGAAGAACACATAATCTGTGCTGAGTGCTCAAAAAAGGTGTCCTAACCACCGCCCTCTCCCAGACCAGCCAATACCATGAGCCAGGCAGGCAGGATGTCCCTGGAGAGTATAGAGTTTGGAGTCAGAATGCCTGGGTTTGAATCCCTTTTCCTTCATAGGCTGGATGTGTGACCTCAGGCCAACTCCCTTAAATTCTTTTCAGTTCCTACCCTTGTAGAGCTGTAGTGGATTAAATGTGACAGTTGCTGGCAGAACTAGTCCACCAGAGTTGGGGACTGGAATTAAACCAGATGCCTAAACCTGTGATGTTTCTGTCCATCATAGTCACGGCTTCGGCTCTGAAATCAAAGCCCTACTCTGCCACTGGCTAATTGTTTGACCCTGAAGGAAACCTACATTTCCTCCATGTGCAAACTGGTATCTGCTTTAAAGAGCTGTTTTAAGGATTCAGTCAAGAAATGCAGATGAAAGGTACCTGGCACACAGTGCTCCAACTCACAGAAAACACTCAATATTATAGCCATTTTTTTCATTAGCAGTTAAGGAGTACCTGGGAGCCCCACCTTGTCCCAGCTGAACAAAAGGCTCCAGACCTCAGATTCCCAGGCTCAGTCCCAGGACTCCTGCCCCCATCATTAGCTCAGGTCTTGTTCAAAAATTCTCTCTCGCATCACAGCACTGGGTCTATTCACCACCTAGAAACACTGGACAACCAGACTCTCCAGAAGACAGGAGTTCCTTCTGACAGATCCTGAATGAAATCAAGCTGAGGATTTGCTGTTCCCTGTGGATACTCTGGCTTATCCCTAACCTGGGGCAGCCTTTCAGCCAGTTACAGATTCTTCTCCCTTCCCACTCAGTCCTCTCTCTACAGGTTTGCAAAAAAACAAGATTTCTAGTTTTCCACACTTACAGTCTTCTAATGGAACTGCCTTTCCAGGCAGTTGTCCCCCCACCACTGCCACTTCTGAGTAGACAGCTTCAACACAATCTGGGCACCCCAGTCCCAAACTGCAGTAACAGAGCATTATTAATCAGAATCATTTTTTTAGTACATAATAATAGCTATATATAAATGTAGCTCTATGAAGTAATTACCCCTACTTCACAGGAAGATAAATAGAGACAGACCAAGATCGAGGGGCCTATCTAGGACAGGAGAAAACAAGAGCACAGTAATTTAAAAGTATGAGCTCAGACAAACCTTGCCCTGAATCATGGTAATGGCTCCTACTAACCCTGACTGTCAACATGCAGCTTCAAAATGGGGCAGCTGCACCTCAAAGGACTGACTGTTGGATAGAGTAAATGAGATAATCCACATAAAATGCTATGCTCAATATCTAGATCACGGAAAGCATTTAGTGAGTGTTAGCCTCTATAACAGTTATTACTACAAAGTTGGTGGCAGCATCAAGCCTGCCTTCTCCAAGAACAGTGCTCTTTCCAGTAGCCAGCCCAG